TTTTGGAGAGGGTCATGGTTTATCCTATAGAGATAGGACAACCCAAACTGATTTAGTCACTCTGTGTGGTGCCATAGACAAGATTGGGGTTTGTCATGTTAGGCTATGTCTATGCTGCAATGAAAAACCTGTGGCTGACCTACGCCAACTGACTCAAACTCATAGGGCTCAGACTAAGGGGCTGTTTAATTGCAGTATAGCTGCTCAGGCTCCAGGTGGGGCCCTGTCTTTAGGACCCTGCAAGGTGGGAGGGTCTCAGAGCTCGGCTGCAACCTGAGCCTGAACATCTACACAGCAATTAAACAGTCCCATAGCACGAGCCAGTTGGCACGAGCCAGCTGCAGGTGTCTAATTGCAGTATAGACATACCTTAACATGATAAATCCCAATCTTATCCACAGCACTACATTACCTTTCAGAGTGACTAAATCAGATTGGGTTATCCTATGTCTATAGCGGGGTTCTCAAAATTTGTCATAGTGAGACTTGGTGACCTATGAAAAAAATGACTACTCCTCCCCATAGTTTAGTAAAACAGTATAACAAACTGAAAATCCTATATGTTGCAAAAAATTAATAAAAAAGTAAAGATTTGATCAATTAGATCAGTATGAGTTTCAGAAGTATTAATTTTAAGTTCAAAAACAGTACAAATGGAAGCAGCTAAAATAAAACTTTGCAAACATTTTAGAAACATGACACCAAACAATGATATATTAATTCAGTATAATATCAATCAGTCCTATCTTATCAGTGGGAGGGGTGTGTTTGTTTCCTTGCTGTACAAAGTATTGGAATTCAGGGTTGCAGTGTAGAAAGGAAGAGACATACCGTAAGTCATCTTCAACAGAAAGCCGGGAGCCATACTTTGTTTTGATTGCAGTTAATACTGAGAAGCCTGACTGGCATAGGTAGGTGGATAAAAAAGGAATAAGGGCTTTAGGTACCCAGTGTATTAATTCATGAAACTCATAACCACCAATAACCAAAAGTCTGCAACTGGCATTTGTGAAAAATTGTGCTGCAGTTCCTTGGAGCTTGACAGGTCAATAAGGCTTTCCTCTTCTTCTGTGGGGTTCGGCTTAAAGCTGAATGGGTTCCTGATCCATTGATTACATTTGTCTTTACCCACTTCAGGAAAGTATTCACAAAACTGCTCCTGCAGACTCCCTAAGTGCTGAATAATTATGTCCTGAATACTGTCAACTGACAGATCACTGCATTGTTCCACAACATCCTCCAGTATTGAAAAGATGGACACAGATCCCTGCAGCACACTTGAAGGCCACAGTTCACGTTTGTTAATGAATGCTGCTATTCGATCATTAACAATGAAAACATTTGCAACTCGTCCCTGAAGTGACACATTCAGAAAATTCAGTCGCTCAAATATATCAGCTAGCTATGACAACAAGGATATCCAAGTGTCACTGAAATGCTGTACAAGTAGAGAATTATTATCGGCAAGAAAAATATGGACTTCCTCACGCAGTTCACATAGTCTTGTCAGCACCTTGCCCCTGGACAGCCAATGAACATCTGCACGTAACAACAACTGTGTGAAGTTTGCCCCCATCTCTTCGCATAAAATGGCAAAAACCCTTGAATTAACCGGGCACAACTTTATAAAGTTTATAATTTTTACTGCAACTGAGAGAACATTGCTGAGCTCCTCTGCCATCTTCTTAGAAGCCAATGCGTGTCTGTGGATCATACAATGATTCCAGGTTGCTGTAGGGGCCACTTCTTGTACCCTTGTCACAAGTCCACTATACCATCCTGTCCTAGACCATGCTCCATAGCTGCAAATTCCAAAACAACGTCCCCGATCAAGGCCTGTGTCTTGGACAAAATTATTTAATAGTTTAAAAAGCTCGTCACCAGTTGCTCATGTTGGAAGTGGATGGCAAAACAGAAATTCCTCTTAATTCTGTTGCTGTAGCAAAACGAATATACATGAGTAGCTATGCAGCATTTGATATATCGGTAGACTCATCTATCTGAATTGAATAATATGGGCTCTGACAAACACTTTTTAGGAGCTGCTCTTTTATATCAGTGGCCATCTCTGCAATACGGTGTGAAATTGTGTCATTAGAAAGTGGGATCACGTCTAGCTGTGATGCTGCTTTCTCTTCGATCATCACCACACATACCCTTTGCAGCTGGAAGTAGTAGTTTCTCACCTATGTTGTGCAGCTTACCAGCTCTGGCAATGCACAAAGCCAAATGGTAAGACGCCTCAGTAGCATTCGTATTAACAGCGCGGTAGAATTCAACAACTTTTTTTTTGTCCTGTTAACGAGATGCTGGCATAGCTTGCAGGGCCACATATTGTCATTTACCAGTACTTTGCCACATACAACATCTTAGGGTGACCAGACAGCAAATGTGAAAAATCGGGACGGGGTGGGAGGTAATAGGAGCCTATATAAGAAAAAGACCCAAAAATCGGGACTGTCCCTATAAAATCGGGACATCTGGTCACCCTACAATACCTTGAGCCCTTGGTGCATCGCTGGACCAGCTCCATGTAAAGCCCAGTTTGAAATAAGCTTTGTCATATTTTTGTCTTCTGCATTTTGCTGGAACTTCCACTTATGCCCTCGCTTTGGCTTGTGTTGTACGCTTTTCTCCCTTTGTCACAAAACGATCCATTTCTCATATAAGCTGTTTCTCGCTGTTTCTTGCTGATAATGTTTTTAAGTTCTTGGGGAAAAAAAAACATGCAACAGATGTCTGACGTTTCAGAGTTGCTAAGAGAGCCCTGCATGGGACTAGTGAAGGGCCCTACAGCATCCCATGAGGCTGCGGCTTCCACTGTCAGAGCAGGGCAGGCTGCGGTTCCCCTTGTCACCTCAGGGCAGGCTCCAGCTGTCAGCCCTGGCTCTGCTTGTCAGACCGGGGTGGGCTGTGGCTCCGGCTCTCAGCCCAGGCTCCCCTGTCAGACTGGATTCCTGCTGTCAGAGGGTCTCCCCCCCCCTCTGTTTTTAATCTACAGAGGCTGTGAGTTTATGACAGGACTCAGCTTGAGAGGCTGGCTCTTTAGCATAAGCTGTAAAGACTCTTGTTTTTACCTCTGGAGGTCACTGATTCACTCCCTATTGTTGGCCAAGATGACAGCCATCATACCTGCAGGTGTTCCACATTGGCATTTTTGCAAGCTGAGCGGCATGCTTCATACTAGTGGGGATGGGAGATCCATATAGACAAAACTGCTAGTGTAATGCCAGACCTGAAGAAGAGCTCTGTGTGGCTCGAAAACTTGTCTCGCTCACCAATAGAAGTTGGTCCAGTAAAACATATTACATCACCCACCTTGTCTCTCTAATATCCTGGGACTGAAACGGCTATGACTACACTGCATAGTGTAATATCGGCACACACATCCTGCAGCTGCAGCTGCTACTGGCTGTATCCAATTTTCAGAAGTCCAGGTAAGACTTCGGAGGGTTTTAGAAGTGAGTGATGACACAGACTTCTTCACGGAGGTTCCTTCCAGCTGATAGATTATGTAATCAGTTCTAAACATGGAGGGTTTCTCAAGGTGTACTTACTTTCAGTAACTTTTAAATGAGGATAAAATATTAAAAACTTCTATATGGGGATAAAACAAATAATTTTCTGATTTACACCACAGTCTCTCACACTCTTTAGGAGGATCAGCGTAGGCAGGAGCAGCTTCAGCAACACAGTTTCTCCCTCTGATTCCCAGGCACATTCTGCTCCCATTTCTCCCTGACTGTAGGAAGCTATCCACTGTTGTACATCAAAACTATAAAAAAACTAGGAAATTAGTAAACAAAAACTACAGTGATAGTAGTATCAGTGACCTCAACAGTGTTAAGGCAGAATAACTTTCCAAACACATGGAAAGCATGACAGTCAAACTGCTGATCTATTGATATAAAAGCATATGAGGTCACTTAAGGTTTTGTGCTAGAGCGTGTAAGTTTAATGAAGTTGTATTGCTTTTTGTTATCTATTGGAGATGGACATGAAAGCCTTATGGAGTGTTGGAATGCATCAAAGATAATGTTATGGGCAATATAAAGATGGAAGGGAATGCACAAGTCTTTCCCCTTAACTTCTTATTTTCATACTTTTAAGGATTTCAGTGAAAGGAGTGAATTCTGCTGCAGCCTTAACTATCACTAAACATAGTATTTGCAGTTTTTGTTCTAGTTCTGCTGATAGCAAAATCCTTGACATGATATTAGCTAAAACTTTCATTAGGGATTGAAAACAATACTTAAGTGACCCGACCCAACCCAAAAGAGTTCCACATAACTGAACCATTGGCGTGATCTTTTCAAACTATTTTGTGAGCTTTTGAAAACAGCAACATGGCAACCACTGGTTTATTTCTTCACATCTAATAGTTTAAGCTATTAACTCCTTGGTGGCTGGAGTGGACACTTCGCAGGTCCTATTATTCCTGCACAGGGTAAAAGTGACTCCTATAGAAGTTACTCTTTTCTTTTGGGAAAAAACTAAGATCTAATACAAACTCTACTCTCCTAGAATATAGTACGAGGAGTTAAAAGGGAGGAATATAGTAGATCATCCATAGCTCCAATGCTTCTCATAAGGCTTCATAAAGGTTGGACTGTACTGAAACAAGGAAACTCAAGCAAGTCCAGACCCTATAGACTTCAGCAAAGTTTCAGAGTCTGGAATGGGAATGCCTAACTTTAGTTTCCTTCTGCCTTGACACTAGACATTCCCATTTGTGCCCTTGTCCAAACACAGACTTAACTCTGTCAGTGAAATGTGTCCCTGATTTAGATGGGGCAGATACGGGGCACTCTGCCCCTAAGATTAAAGGGCCAGGATTCCGATAGCTTGAGAATGAGTAGTGTGCATCTCTCAGTTTTAAGAGTCAGCATCTCTGATTTCTGTATGAACAGGCTGATAAAGGTCCCCAGGTCTCATTTTAAAGGGCCAGTAACTGGTATAGATGAGTCTGCTGAGGACTCTGTCTTTTTAGCAACTCTTACCCAGTATTGGTTGTCCTCCATCATATTTAGGGGGTTGCCACTGTACTGTGCAGTAATCCTCTCCAACATCGATGATCTTCGGAGCCTCTGGAGGATCAGGAACATCTAAAGATTGTATGAGAGAGGGAGTGTCAAAATTGTTACCCTTGCCATCAGCTATGTTACTAAATATTTTTGTTTAGCATTTTTCCACATTATATATCTAAAGGATATCTGCACAACCAAATCAAACCTATTGAGAGATCCCTCCTCTTTCATTTTGAAGACACTGTCTGTCTGTCGGTCTGTGGTATTTCTAATGCGCAGACCTAGATCTGTAGCGTCTAAGCACCAGATACAGTATAAGTCATTACCTCAGTCCAGACTGAGCCCTGCTCTTTGATGCTTCTAGGTTAGATTGCTTTTACTTTAAATTATGTTTGATTATTCATATTTCTTAATCTATACATACATAGACACATCTTTGTGAAATAAAAAATTTTAGCTGGATAGCAGTCTATATAATCTGCCCACACCCCACCAAGGTTTTGACAGCTGCAGTCATAACATGTTTCCCCTGGCCTGCAGAATAGGTGCATTCCTGAGACGCATCATTGTTGTTCCATAATTTGTCAGGCAGAGGGAGCTGTTGCAGAGAGAGGCTGCCTCTTGCTACTCCTGGGGGAATTCTGCACCACTGCACATGCACAGAATTTCTGTCCCCCACAATTTTTTTTTTCCTCTGCTGGAGAGGTGCTGCAGTTACACCGTTTACCCACCAGGGGCTGCTGTGGTGCCAAAACAAAGGGAAGCTGGCTCACCAACCATAGCAGTCTGCAGCTGATAGGGAGGAAGAGAGGCTGGATTCCTCACAAAGCCCTGCCCATGGGGACAGGTGAGAAGGCATGGGATATGGAAGGGGACAGACAGAGCAGGGAACAAGGGGCTGCTGGGGGGTCACATAGACTGGGTTGAAAAGGGCTAGTGGGGAGGACAGACTAGGGCAGGGGCTGAATGGGAGTGGGGGTGCAGGGCCATGTTGGGAGGAGGGGGGATGGCTGAGTGGGATGCAGTGACACATGGGGACAGGGGCAGATGTGCCTGATTGTATTGGAGAGGCTGTGGGTCAGCCAGAGTCTGCATGGAGGAGGCTCCCCAACTCCCTAACAATCTCTCCCCTGCAAAAAAACGCCGTTCCATACGTCTTCCACCCACACCCAACAGCCCTCCAGGTTCACTCCCAGCCTCCTTCCCAGCAATTACTTCCCTCTCCCTCAGCTCCTCCATTACCTCTGACTCCCGCAAGCCTTTGCACTGCTTCTGAGGGATTCAGAAAATGCATTTCTGTATTGTAGTTTAAATGAATTATTACTCAAAGTTCTGTATTAATATGCCCAGTAAGGAATCTGTTTGTCAAAAAACATTTCCTGAATCTTTTTTGTTGTCTCTATTATTACAGACATACTTGCTGACAAACGTATTTTGAAATAAAATTAACAAAATAATTGTAGCTGGTGTGATTATATTGTGTTATTTTGACAAATAAAATATGCCGAATTTTGCAGAATTTTAAAATATTGTGTGTAGAATTTTTAATTTTTTGGCACAGAATTCCCCCAGGAGTATTGTGCCTAAATTCCACCTGTTAGGAAATGAGATAATCTGACATGGCTCCCATTTCTTGGGTCTTCTGTGTCAGACACCATGATGGGGATGATCAGGCCTAGCTGCTGGAGCTGTTAAGCCTAGTGGTCAGAGCCAGGGGTAAGAGCTGGAATGAGGAGTCCAAAGCAGGGTGGAAGCAAGGCTGGAGTGAGAGCAAGGCTGGAACAGGACGCGAGCAAGAGCAGGACTAGGAACAGGGCTGAAGCAAGAGCAAGGCTGGAGAGGCTAAGGCTTGGGGAGTAGGTTACCATCGTCAGGCAGGAGAGAGTTCTAAGTCTTGGAGTGACGTTGAGCTGACTGAACTACTGTTCCTCCTGTGGAGTTTATATACCTGCCCAATACAAGAGTGACTCACCACCTTAAATTACTGTGTGTCCCCCTACCTCCCGAGGGCACCTCCCTGATGCCTTTGGACCCAACTTGTCTGGGTGCAATTGATAGAATTCATGAAGCACATTGGGTGCATGTACGTTACAGGCTGGTTCCCATGAACGATCATCTGGGCTATTCCCTTCCAGTCCTTAGAGGAGTGTAGAGGCTAGGTTCTCTCTCACCTCATATTCTTCCTGTTCCTGAATCGAGATTTGGAGTGGAGGTGGTTGTGTGTATCTAGGAAAGAAGTTATTCACATATTTTTAACAAGAAAACATGGAATACTGGATGTCTTCATGGTTCGCGGTAGCTGGAGCTTGAAGGTCACCAGGTTAATCTGTTGAATGATCTGGAATGAGCCAAGATAACAGTAGTTTAGTTTCCTTGAGGGTCGGGAGGTGTCCAAGTGCTGAGTTGAGAGCCATATCCTGTTGATGAATGTCAGTGTATTGTTTGTAGTCCTCTTTGGCTGAGTGTGTGTGATTTTAATTCCTCTTGAATGCAGTGGAGATGTTCAGCCAAATTGGAGGCCACAGGGTCATGGGAGGCTGGCAGTACAGATGGATGAAATCAGGGCTGGAAGCAATAATTGAAATAGAAGGGACTTTGGCAGGTTGATTTGTGATCGGAGTTATTGTAAGCAAACTCGGCAAAAGGCAAGAGCCTGACCCAGTCATGTTGATGAATCAGTGAAGACATTTTTCTAGAATTTGGCTTATCTGTTCTGTTTGTCCATTCATCTGGGGGTGGTAGGCAGAGGAAATGTGTAGAGTGACTTCCAGGAGTTTGAACAATTCTCTCCAAAAATGGGAAACAAATTGTGGCCCACAGTTCAGTGTAATGTCAGTTGGTAACCCATGGAGCTTGAAGATGTGGTTGAAAAATAAGTGAGCCATTGCTTGTGCAGTGGGGGGGATCTTCTGAGAAGGCAAAAAGTGCACTATTTTGGTGTGGAGGTTGACGACGATCAGTGTAGCTGTGCAGCCCTGAGAAGTGGGGCAGTCAGTGATTAAATCTATTTATTGATTTAACCGCTACCCCTTCCTACTTCTCCACGTGGGCACCAATGATACTGCCAAGAATGACCTTGAGCAGGTCACTGCAGACTACGTGGCTCTGGGAAGAAGAGTAAAGGAGTTTGAGATGCAAGTCGTGTTCTCGTCCATCCTCCCTATTGAAGGAAAAGGCCCAGGTAGGGACCATCGAATTGTGGAGGTAAATGCGTGGTTGCGCAGGTGGTGTTGGAGAGAAGGCTTTGGATTCTTCAACCATGGGATGTTGTTCCTGGAAGAAGGATTGCTAGGAAGAGATGGTATCCACCTAACGAAGAGAGGGAAGAGCATCTTCGCAGGCACGCTTGCTAACCTAGTGAGGAGGGCTTTAAACTAGGTTTGCTGGAGGATGGTGACCTAAGCCCTGAGGTAAGTGGGGAAGTGGGATACCAGGAGGAAACACAAGGAGGAGGGGAGGGTGCAACAGGGGAAGCCTCCTGATTCATACTGAGAAAGTAGGGCAATAGTCTAGTTCTCGTAGGTGCCTGTACACGAATGCAAGAAGCCTGGGAAACAAACAGGAAGAATTGGAAGTCCTGGCACAGTCAAGGAACTGTGATATGATTGCAATAACAGAGACTTGGTGGGGTAACTCACATGACTGTAGCACTGTCATGGATGGGTATACGCTGTTCAGGAAGGACAGGCGGGGGAGAAAAGGTGGAGGAGTTGCACTGTATGTAAGGGAGCAATATGATTGCTCAGAGCTCCAGTATGAAACTGGAGAGAAGCCTGTTAAGAGTTTTTGTGTTAAGTTTAGAGGCAAGAGCAATGAGGGTGATGTCGTGGTGGGTGTCAGCTACAGACCACCAGACCAGAAGAATGAGGTAGACGAGGCTTTCTTCGGACAACTAACAGAAGTTTCCAGATCACAGACCCTGGTTCTCAGGGGGGACTTCAATCACCCTGACATCTGCTGGGAGAGCAATACAGCAGTGCACAGACAATCAAGGAAGTTTTTGGAGAGTGTTGGGGACAACTTCCTGGTGCAAGTGCTGGAGGATCCAACTAGATGGTTGAGTTCAGGATCCTGACAAAAGGAAGAAAGAAAAGCAACAGAATACAGACTCTGAACTTCAGAAAAGCGGACTTTGACTCCCACAGGGAACTGATAGGCAGGATCCCCTGAGAGGCTAATGTGAGGGGGAAAGGAGTCCAGGAGAGCTGGCTGTATTTTAAAGAAGCCTTATTGAGGGCGATGTGCAGAGAGAATAGCAAATATGGCAGGCGACCACCTTGGCTTAACAGAGAAATCTTCGGTGAGCTTAAACACAAAAAGGAGGCTTACAAGAAGTGGAAACTTGGACAGATGACTAGGGAGGAGTATAAAAATATTGCTTGAGCATGCAGGGGTGTAATCAGGAAGGCCAAAGCATAATTGGAGTTGCAACTAGCAAGGGATGTGAAGGGTAACAAGAAGGGTTTCTACAGGTATGTTAGCAACAAGAGGAAGGTCAGGGAAAGTGTGGGACCCTTACTGAATGGGGGAGGCAACCTAGTGACAGATGATGTGGAAAAAGCTGAAGTACACAATGCTTTTTTTGCCTCAGTCTTCACAGACAAGGTCAGCTCCCAGACTGCTGCAGTGGGCAGCACAGTATGGGGAGGAGGTGAGCAGCCCTCAGTGGTGAAAGAACAGGTTAAGGACTATTTAGAAAAGTTGGACATGCACAAGTCCATGGGGCTGCATGCAATGCATCCGAGGGTGCTGCGGGAGTTGGCTGATGTGATTGCAGAGCCATTGGCCATGATCTTTGAAAAATCGTGGCAATCGGGGGAGGTTCCGGATGATTGGAAAAAGGCAAATGTAGTGCCCATCTTTCAAAAAGGGAAGAAGGAGAATCTGGGGAACTACAAACCGGTCAGCCTCACCTCAGTCCCTAGAAAAATCATGGAGCAGGTCCTCAAGGAATCCATTTTGAAGCACTTGGAGGAGAGGACGTTGAACAGGAACAGTCAACATGGATTCACCAAGGGCAAGTCATGCCTGACCAATCTGAATGCCTTCTATGATGAGATAAATGGCTCTGTGGATATGGGGAAAGCGTTGGATAGAGGTGATATATCTTGACTTAAGCAAAGCTTTTGATACAGTCTCCCATAGTATTCTTGCCAGCAAGTCAAAGAAGTATGGATTGGATGAATGAACTATAAGGTGGATAGAAAGCTGGCTAGATCGTCGGGCTCAACAGGTAGTGATCAACGACTCAATGTCTAGTTGGCAACCGATATCAAGTGGAGTGCCCCAGGAGTTGGTCCTGGGGCCGGTTTTGTTCAACATCTTCATTAATGATCTGGATGATGGGATGGATTGCACCCTCAGCAAGTTCGTGGATGACACTAAGTTGTGGGGAGAGGTAGATACGCTGGAGGGTAGGGCTAGGGTCCAGAGTAACCTAGACAAATTGGAGGACTGGGCCAAAAGAAATCTGATGAGGTTCGATAAGGACAAGTGCAGAGTCCTGCACTTAGGACAGAAGAATCCCATGCACTGGTACAGGCTGGGGACTGACTGGCTAAACGGCAGGTCTGCAGAAAAGGACCTGGGGATTACAGTGGACGAGAAGCTGGATATGAGTCAGTACTGTGCCCTTGTTGCCAAGAAGGCGAACGGCATATTGGGCTTCATTAGAAGGAGCATTGCCAGCAGATTGAGGGAAGTGATTATTCCCCTCTATTTGGCACTGGTGAGGCCACATCTGGAGTAATGTATCCAGTTTTTGGCCCCCCATTACAGAAAGGATGTGGACAAATTGGAGAGAGTTCAGCGGAGGGCAATGAAAATGATTAGGGGGTTGGGGCACATGATTTATAAGGAGAGGCTGAGGGAACTGGGCTTATTTTGTCTGCATAAGAGAGAAGTGTGAGGGGAATTTGATAGCAGCCTTCAACTACATGAAGGGGGGTTCCAAAGAGGATGAAGCTAGTCTGTTCTCAGTGGTGGCAGATGACAGAACAAGGAGGAATGGTCTCAAGTTGCAGTGGGGAAGGCCTAGATTGGATATTAGGAAAAATTATTTCACTAGGAGGGTGGTGAAGCACTGGAATAGGTTACGTAGGGAGGTGGTGGAATCTCCATCCTTAGAGGTTTTTAAGGCCCGGCTTGACAAAGCCCTGGCTAGGATGATTTAGTTGGTGTTGGTCCTGCTTTGAGCAGGGTGTTGGACTAGATGACTTCTGAGGTCTCTTCCAACCCTAATCTTCTTTGATTCTATGATATCAAGGCCCCAGGTTGAGATAGGGGTGGAAGTGGGATCAGGACACCCAGAGGCTTGGCAGGGGGATCTTCATCCAGCTGCATGTCTCACAGGAAGCTTTGATGGAGGAGAATAGTTTTGGCCACCAAAAATTGTGAGAAATCAGCTTCTTTGTCCAGTACCCAAAGTGGCCTGCCAGCAGGGAATTGTGGCATAGCCAGAGTACAGCTAGATGGGGTGATCCAGGCAATCCTTGAACCAGACTAACTTGTTTTTGACTGAGAAGTTTGGGTCAGAATTGGCTGACATCTATTTCACTGAAAGCAGATCACTGACCAGTGAGGACTTTACAAGGCCAAAAGATCAATGTTGGAGCACATTCACAAAATGGCAGGGCTTTCAATATATTTCGAGAGCGTTATCCCCTTTATTTAGGTACTCCCCCTTGCAGGATAATGCACTGAGTTCACCATTTCGGGTTCTGAGCCAGTAGATCAGGGTGAAGTTAAATCTAGTAAGGAAGAGGGACCAGCATATTTGACATTGGTTGTGGGCTGTGGCATTCAGAGATGTTTTATGATCTGTGAACACATTGACTGGAAAGCGCGCACGTTCTAGATGGTGATACCACTCCTGAAATGCAGCCTTGATGGCCAGTAATTCCTTATCGTACATTTGGTAATTTTGTTCCTCAGGTGTCTATTTCCTAGAATAAAAGGCACAAGCGTGGAGGTCATTTGAGAACCACATTGTTGAGATAATACTACCCTGATTGTGTAATTGGAAACATCTGTTTCAACAACAAAAAGGTTTAGATGCATCTTGGTGTACTAACACAGGGGCAGAAGTAAATGCTTTCTTCAGCCAATCAAAAGCCAGTTGGGCTTCTGGTGTCCAGTTGAAAGCGGAGTTCTTCTGTAGCAGCTGGGTAATTGGGAACACCACTTTTGAGAGCCCTTGGATGAATTATCTGTAGAAGCTGGCAAATCCTAGAAAGCATCAGATATCACAAATGCTCTTGGCAGTTGCCCAAGTCAAAATTGCAGAAAACTTTTTGGGATCCATACTTATTCCACTGGGAGAGATGGTATAACCCAAGAAGTCCACAGCAGTGCGATCAAATTCATATTTCCCAGGCTTCCTATATAGGCCATTTGCTCAAAGACATTCAAGTACCAACCGGACATGCTGGTGATGCAAGGTTTGATTCTCTGAAAAAATAAGAATGTCATCTAGATAGATTATGATAAACTGGTTCAGAACCTCCCTGAAGATATCATTAATCAAATGCTGGAACATGGCGGAGATGTTACAGAGACCAAAAGGCATCATGAAGTACTCAAAAAGCCCATACCAAGTACGAAAGTCTGTTTTCCATTCATCACCCTCTCAGATGTAGACCATCTGATAGGTGCTTTAGCGGAAATTTTTGCTGAGCTGACCCTTTCTGTTTCTTTGTTGATCAATGACAAGGGATATTTATTTTTGATGGTTATATTGTTCAGTGTTCGATAGTATACGCAGAGGTGCGGAGTGCCATCCATTTTTTGACAAAACAGGATTGGGGCCGCAGTGGGGGACACAGACAGATGGATAAAATTCTTTGCCAGATTTTCATCGAGATACTCCCATAGGAACCTAAGTTCAGGTTCTGATTGGATAAATTTTGCACAAAGGGGATTTTGGCCCCTAGCTGGCAGTCATAGGACCTATGCGGGGGCAGAGCATCAGTATTATTTTTATCAAATACATCTGCAAGGTCCTTGCATTTCACAAGGATTGGTGAGTTATCCTCATTCAGAGCCTGCTGTGTGCAGAAAATGGTGGCCTTGCCCAGATTACATCTAGGGTCTTCAAAACCAGATTGGACTAGGCACTGATGTAGACAATAGTCAGATTCGAACCGAACTTCTTGTGCTCTCCAAGAAATGCTCATATCGTGGAGAGAGAGCCAGGGGATGCCAGGCATGATTGGGAAGTGAGGTTAGTTAGTATGTGTAATACTATGGCTGCATGTATGTTGTTTTACCTTATTTAAGAACAGAAATTAATAATATAAAGAACCTATACCTTTTCTAAATCCTATCTTAGTATTTGTCCTGATGACCTCATACAGCAATGAACTACAAAGGTTTACAATACAGCATGCAAAAAACATTTCCTTTTATCACTTCTAAATTTGTTCAGTTTGCCCTTGTTCTGATAATGCAGGCCAGGATATAAAGAAGGAGCTGATTGATTTTCACAACACCCATCATAATCTAGAGTATTTCAGTCAAACTCCCCTCTAGCTCTTCTCCTTTGTAGGCTAAATAATTCCAGTCCTTTTTAATATCTTATACCATATGTACATATCCCTTCATTCCATTAACTGTTTACCATACATATAATAAAGTCGTTTCTGTTAGAAAACTCACACAACAAAATGGCAAAAAGTGATTTCATTCTATAGACATATCATCAACCCCACTGAGAGAAGAGACTGGATCACTGACATTCAAAAATGTAGGGAAATGGAAGGGAAGGATATTCATATAACCTAATTTTTAAGATTTAGGAATGATTCTTTCTCCTCCCAGATGGGGAATACAAGGGAAGCTACTTAGAAAAACATTTCTGTCAAGTTTTATGAAACTTATTCCTCCCATATGGTCATTTTTCACCTCTTTGAACTCACAGTCAGAGCTGTTCTCAGGTTTACAGAAATGAGGGTAGGTCCGTCCCACTGAACTCAAGAGTTTTTCAGAGACTGGTTATTCCTGTCCGTCACTTACCAATAACCTTTACTGTGATATCAGCCTTATCTTCTCCTGCTGGGTTCTTTACTGTAACTCTATAAACCCCCTCATCTGGCTTCTCTGCTCCTTCAATGATGAAGATACAGTGGTCTTCATGCATCTCTACACGAACTCTACCTTCAGTTTCAGAGAGAAGCTGTGGGCACTGAAAACAGCAAGTGAAGTCATTTGTATCTAGGGTGGAAACAGGAGAGCCTAATGCTGTGTCTGAAAGAAGGGAACAGGGATTTGCATAAACACGCTGAGCCTGCAGCAACATGTAAGTCTTTCTGACACCGACCATTACCAGTATCACTGAAAAGCTATCAATGAAGTTTTATTCTATTTTAAGGTTCTGTTTTATAGGAACAACAGGACATCAGTGGGAGGCCATTAACAGCTCAGAACATTCTCCTTTGGGGAGAAATTGGTTTTTAAAACTCTGTAAGCACCATTGGTAGTTAAAAAGACCCTATTGCATTTCTCAAACTTGTGACTTGGGAATTTTCCTCTGCTCCTGTCTCTCCCTTGGCCCACACATTTTGTCTGTGTCCAAATCTTGTTGCTTCTTCCTCCTTGACATTTCTAAGATCTGAACTTTTGACCTTTTGTTTTTATCCACAATACTAAAACCCTTGTCAGAGCCCTCATCTTCCATTTTTGTTACTGCCACCTCCTCATCCTCAGGGCTTTTGGATGCCCACATCATCCCCCCCTCCCCATCACTTAATTAAAAATACTTTGACCATTTGCCTGTTCTCCCATTTTGTTTTTTTTCTCTTTTTTTGGCTTAGGGGAAAGGGGGGAAATCAGCGCTAACGTGTCTAAGCATAACCATCACCACTTTGTTGTATCCTTTTCCTTTTTCCTGTGTCACATCCTTGTATTTTTAGACTCTATGCCCCTTTGGACAGGGACTGTCCAAGACCTATGTGTATGTATAGCACCTAGAACAATGGGGTCCCAATCTTGACCCAGGCCTCTGAGTTCTAATGTAATACAAATAGCAAAATAATTCTTCTGACTGACTACCACACATACACCAATGTAACAAAAATTAATGCAGGATAAAAGGGACTTAATGTGAAAAGAGGTAACCTCATGATCTTGTAGTGTGTCCTTCACATTCCCATCACTTTACCTGTTGTTATCTCTCCTTGCATCCAACTAATCTCTTCCCCTAGATATCTTTAGTAAGACTCAAAAAAGGGTTAGGTATCCAGAGTTACGTAAAACAGAATTTAAAAAAAATATTTAGAAGTGTTGTAAACCCTCATGCTTCAGGGCAAAAGTCCATCACTAAACAATGGTGGTTAGGAAGAAACTTGCCCTACAGACAGGTTATTCCATAAGTGTCCACTAAGGGGTTTCTTGTGCCTCCCTCTGAAGCATCTGATAATTGCCACTGTGAGGCAGAACACTGTCCTAGATGGACGGTGGTCTGATCCATTATGTTAATGACTATGTTCCTATATACTCTAAATTTTAAGCTCCTCTAGGCAGGACCATTTGTCTGTAAATACACCAGATATATTTATGGGTTTGTATAAATAGTAAGGAACTTACCTTGCTCTCCTTACTTAAATCACTGCTGGAGTCTGGGGAATCCATGGAATCAGCATTGCTTAGCACATTGCAGCTGTTCTAGATGAGCAAAGAAATACATGAAAGATAATGGAGCAAATAATCAAGCAATCTATTTGCAAACACCTAGAAGATAATAAAGTGATAAGTAACAGTCAACATGGATTTGTCAAGAACAAATAATGTCAACCTAATTTAACAGGTAACAAGCCTTGTGGATACAGGGAAAGCAGTAGATGTGGTATATCTTGACTGTAGTAAAGCTTTTGATACTGTCTCGCATGACCTTCTCATAAGCAAACTAGGGAAATGCAACCTAGATGGAGCTACTATAAGATGGGTGCATAACTGGTTGGAAAACTGTTCCCAGAGAGTAGTTTATCAGTAGTTCACGGTCAAGCTGGAAGAGCATATTGAGCAGGGTCTCTCAGAGATAGGTCCTGGGTCCAGTTCTGCTCAATATCTTCATAAATGATTTAGATAATGGCTATAGAATACACTTATAAAGTTTGTGGACAATACCAATACTGGAAGGGATTGCAAGTGTTTTGGAGAATAGGATTAAAATTCAAAATTATCTGGACAAACTAGAGAAATGGTCTGAAGTAAATAGGATGAAATTGAATAAGGACAAATGCAAAGTACTCCCCTTAGCAAGGAACATTCTATTGCACAAATACAAAATGGGAAATGACTGCCTAGGAAGGAGTACTGTGGAAAGGGATCTGCAGCTGATAGTGGATCACAAGCTAAATATGAGTCAACAGTATAACAATGTTGCAAAAAAACCCCATCATTCTGGGATGTATTAGCAGGGAGTGTTGTAAGCAACACACGAGAAGTAATTCTTCCACTCTACTCCACGCTGATTAGGCCTCAGCTGGAGAATTGTGTCCAGTTCTGGGTGCCACATTTCAGGAAAGATGATGACAAACTGGAGAAAATCCAAAGGAGACCAACAAAAATGATTAAAAGTTTAGAAAACATGACTGTGAAGAACGATTGAAAAAACTGGGTTTGTTTAGTCTGGAGAAGAGAAGACTGAGGTGGGACAGGATAACAGTTTTCAAATACATTAAAAGGTTGTTACAAGGAGAAGGTTGAAAATATGTTCTTGTTAACCTCTGAGGATAGGACAAGAAGCAATGGGCTTTAATTGCAGCAAGGGCAGTTTAGGTTGGACATTAGGAAAAACTTTCTAACTGTCAGGGAAGTTAAGCACTGGAACAAATTGCCCAGGGAAGTTGTGGAATCTCCATCATTGGAGGTTTTTAAGAACAGGTGAGACAGACACCTGCCAGGAATGGTCAAGTTATTACATAGTCCTGCCTTGACTGCAGGGGACTGGACTAGATGACCTATTGAGGTCCCTTCCACTCCAACCCTTCTATGATTGTATGAAGAGTCAGAAAGATCTCATTGAGCAGAGTTGGTCAAGCTGTGTCTGAGACACTGAGGAGAAGGATCTACGCAGGGTATGTTGGCTGCTTGGCATGGGAGATGTGACAAAAATGAAGATCAGAATGAATGAACAAAAATGAGAAGGAAATTAACTGATAAAAAAAAAACAGAATCATCAATGCATTCCCAGAGTGAGATAGAATTAAAGGAAGCATCAGCAAGATCAGTTTCATAGCCTCATAAACAAAGATTTATGAGATCCCTGCATCAGAAGTCACAGATAGAAGTGATTCAGTCACAGTCCCATGAAAGTAGTAGGTTAGTGGGCTTATATATTTGTGCAAAATAGAGAATGTTCTTTCTGTATCAGTGGGGTATTGGGCTTATGAACATCTTTTACGGAAAGGTATAAATTCATCCCTTTAACACCAGCCAAACTAGATAATCTGAAGTTATGCTACTGCCCTTTTTAAATTCCTCCACTAGTCCCCATGCTTCCTTTGCATCAAATTCAGTTTCTTGTCCTCATGGTCCTTCATGGTCTTCCTTACTTATCTACTTATGTCTTATATCTCAACCAAAGTTCCCTGCTGCAGCTGCATTACTCTGTTCTTGCAAAAAGTAAGCAAACATTTTGGGTAATCCCTCCCAGAAGATTTTCTTCCACAAACTCATTTGGCTTGAGGGGAGAGGGGAGGGCTGCATGGGCTCTACTGTTCCTGGGGAAGAAATGGGACCTCTTCTCTGCCCATTCTGGAGCTGGGAGAAGGGGTAAGACTGGTTTGGGTCTTAGCTTCCTTTATGGGATAATATTAATAATTTTAATTTTAAATAATAATGCAGTCTGCATATGTTTTTAGAGGCAAAGTTCTTCTAGGAACTGTTTTCTGGACTTTTTTGTGTACTGATGATCAGAAGATAATATTTCAGAAGATTGAATTCCCTCTCCATCTTGTCACTGAAGGAAATTTCCTAATTCTGGGTTGCAAAGGAAAACATTATGATTTGTTTAGGAGTGGGTGCTGGGAATTAGAGTCTTTACTGCATTCATGACTGCCACAAGAGGTCAGCCTTTTGCTAACAACAACAAAAAGAACATTTATCTGGCAGTAAGAAGTAGCATTTCACTCTTACAGAAGAGAGATTGAAAAGTTTAAAAAGTTCAGCAAATACCATAAAAGAAGTAAGTACCATTGTCTGCACTATTACTTTATACTCCTCTATTTTGGCCTCCTGCAATTGCTCCAACAACCAGGTAAAATAGGAGTTATCCTTTAAATTCACAAGGTCTAAATTGGCAGAATGCCCAACAGAACTGGCTGCTGGTGTAGATGAGTCTATTGCTTCTGTGACATTCAGTAGGATGTTGAAAGTACCATTTGTTCACAAACTGACCAAAAGAACTTGGGATGGGAAAGGAGAGACGGTAGAACATTTCCTTCCTGTGAGGCACAGGTGGTGGGGAGGGCTGATGACCATGGCTTACTTGTTTCCTGTGATGTGAGAAGACAGTAATCTAGTGGTGGCAGCCCTCTCCCTAGGCATGCAGATACTATGCTGATGTGCAGTAGAGAAAGAAGGGCAGAAAGGCTACCATACACATCCACTTGCTTCCTTTTGTTTTCCCCACGCTGAAAATAAACACTTTAGAAAAAGAACACTGTTCAAGAAGACTACAGCAAAATCAGCTAAATCATCAGGTGCTGCTTTGCTGCTGTTTTAGAAATTTCTTTGTTTAGAAACATCTACATTTGGAGGGATATGGAAAAGTTTTTTAGGTAAGAATTGGAAATTCAAATCATATGTGAAAAAGAGAAGAAATTCCTTGGTATGACCTCTTTGCCTTAGACTACACATTACCTTGTTTACTTTCTGCCAGATGACAGTGGGTATTGGATCTCCTGATATGGGAACGTCCAATCTAAGTTTGTTCCCAGCCACCACAACAATAGTGTCAGGGGCTGCTTGACCCATGAAGTCCAGATGGATTTTGGGGGGTTCTGTAGCGAAAGTGGAGAAAATCAAATATTTTTCAACATGGTTTGAATGTTTTGCAGGAAAAGGGAGGCATTTCTCAGATGTTATGTTAAAAATTGAAGAGGTTCTGCTACTGAAAAGCATGCAAGACGACTTGTTCAGATGTTACTCACATGATCCAATAATGAACATTGTTTTTACCTTGTCTTGGCACAAAATCAATCTTGATCTCTGGAAAGGGAAAAAAAAATGGATCTGACAATAGCTAAGTTTCGTGTAATCAGCAGACCAAAAATAATTTTAAAACAAATAATATAATAAATAATCCCTCAGTGTATGTAAATCAATGGGTGAATATATATTTTGGAAACTGGCTTGGTAAAACAAGAAGAAAATAATAATACAAAAAATAGAATAGGGCTGGGTCTTGCAAAGGCTTTTACAAGTGAATAACTTTGCTCCCATGTGTAATCCTATTGGCAGTGATTTAAGGCCCCAATCCTGCAAACACACACATACTTAACTTTACTTGTGCATAGACCCATGAAATCTGTGGGACTACGTGCATAAGTAAATGTAACCCCATGAATAAGTTTTTGCAGGATCAAAGCTATAGTCTGTGTTTGCAGGATCAGGCCCATATAAAATGACAAATAAACAATGTAGAAAAATAAAAATAGAAAATAAGCAACTTTTTAAAAAAGTTTGGAAAATGTTTAGGATAAAAACAAACAAAATAATAGCAATAGTATATGCAAGGGTTAAAAATACATAGAGATTGTAACTAAGCAATGGTTGAAAGAGAAACAAGAGAAACTAAGAGTGACTGTGCGCAGTTTGAAACTATTTTACATGTCTATTAAAAGGAATGAACATATCATGTGCCAGTCCTCAGCCTAATCACTTTGTTTGTTTGTTTCTATCAGTTTCCCTCTTTGTGTTTTGTCCTTTAGTTCTCAACCCAGGAAACACTTTGCACGAATAACTTTACTTGTGTAAGTCATCTAAGTGTGTTGTGTCATTACCTCCCAGTGCTCCCCATCAGTACTCGGCCCAAACCAGGGAAGATAATGATCCAATCAGTAGACCAAATTTGGTGATGAATCCTGGTCACATGCCACCTGAAGCACTTTGCACATACATTAAGAAGAAAACCTCCCAGCATAACCCACACGGAAAGGCGCTCTGGGGGTGGAAATATTGGGGGGGGGAAGGAAATATCTCCCCGCACCCGTGTTTAGGTGGCATCCCCCCTCACACAGAAGAGGTTGCAGGGCTTGCTCCAAACCTGATGGATCCTAGTGAGGTCTGTTGAAGGTCAGAGCCATCTGCTTGGAGGCCCTGTGTCTCCACACTGGCTTCAGTTCTTCCTCACCCCGGGCTTTATTGAAGCCACACTGCCAGGGTCTTCCCTGGCTAGAAACTTATGGGATCCCCAGGCTTATGGGATACCTCAGTTGAGCCCTACCAAAAAATATAATACAGCATTGGACTGTATTAACTTTTCTGAGGAATCGCTGAGAGATCTGATGGGCTGCCCAGACTCCACTCCCTCTCCCAGTGGAGACCCTGGATGCACAGAGAGGCCTTTCTGGAGGTCTGGTGAAAGGAAAGACAGTGCAGTGGAGGAGACTACCCTACCCCCAACTCCTGTCCATACAGCAGTGGTTCTCAACCAGGGGTATGTGTACCCCTTGGGGTACGGAGAGGTCTTCCACGGGGCACATCAATTCATCTAGATATTTGCCTAGTTTTACAACAGGCTACATAAAAAGCACAAGTGAAGTCAGTACAAACTAAAATTTCATAAAGACAGTGACCGGTTTATACTGCTCTATAGACTATACACTGAAATAGAAGTACAATATTTATATTCCAAATGATTTATTTTATAATTATATGGTAAAAATGAGAAAGTAAGCTATTTTTCAGTAATAGTGTGCTGTGATACATATGTATTTTTATGTCTGATTTTGTAAGCAAGTAGTTTTTAAGTGAGGTGAAATTTTGAGGGTATGCAAGACAAATCAGACTCCTGAAAGGGGTACAGTAGCCTGAAAAGGCTTAGAGCCACTGCTGTAAAGGATCTATGTGCAAGGCTCCCTCCAGGTGCAAGGATCTGCTGTGAGCTCTACAATACAAATAATAATGATGATGCACTATCACAGAGAGAAGTTACATGTTCCATGTTCATACAGCAGGAAGGGAAATCTCCATACAGCCTCCTGGTGTAATCAATTAAATGATTTGGTCCCACAGCTCCCTGTAGTCCTTATATATGGATAATTCCTTCTTTGGAAGGCCTGTGGTATTCCCATTACATATTAGGAACCAGATTCCACAACACTCACCCAAAAATCTGAGTTTGGCAGAAAGGTTGTAAGCAAATCCTTCAGGGACAAAAGAATAGTCAGCCTCATCTTCTGGGGTTACATCATCAATAGTTAGCTTATGGATTCTGAAAAATATACACAAGCATGTGACTCTCTTAACTTTAGTCAGGAGGTACACTGCTACAGAGAGTGAGTGCATTCAGGCTGCAGCACACGGCAAGCCATTAATAACCTTCCCAGTATCAAATCAACATGCTAGGGCAAACAGAACCAGTTTCCTCTCAAGGATATTGTAAACCCAAGCAACACTATGGCAAAGAAAGTGCAGGCTTGTTCACCATCCCCCTCCTTGTAAACTCAGCAGACAGCGCATCAAAACAATCCTTTGGGAGCCTAAGTAATGTAGGTAATTTAGAAAATTTTACTCATCTAAATGTGTGTGTGTATGAGTATATACTATATATATTAAAAACTATAGTAAATTAACACAAACAGATTTACTTCTCGGTACTGATATCTGTCTATCCTTATCTAATGTATCAGTCTGTTTGATTATGTCTATTCTAAAGTGACCACCAGTGTGGTCTCTAGGCAATTTAAATCCCCCCCAAAATGAAAGGCAGAGTAAAGGCTAAGAATCTGGGCTGATGCTCCATTGTACAGATATAGACCAACATACTATACGCACACCTGCAGAATTACATACATGCCAGTACTGTACATGTGGTGCACACACCCAGGCAGATCACAGAAGAGAGGAATGGATACATGTTCATTGTGCTGAGGAAGGTTCCAACTGCCTCCCATTAGCTGGCTTATATTCATTTCCTCATCACTATCCAGAGAGGACTTTAGTGTCATACCCAATCCTGTCCAAGCTTTCTGAAGCAGGACTCACCTGCCAATATGAGAGATCTTTATCCTCTCATCTGGGATCACCTCCTTCCCATTTTTCAACCAGATTCCTTTCACATTCTCATCGGAGACTTCACACTTGAAGACTGCCTGGTCCCGTGCCCTCACTGTCAGGTCTGCGATACTCTGGTACACTTCCAGCTTCTTCTCTAGGGTTATGAGTTGTGGAAGGAAGCAACACAAACATCAGCAAGTCAAAGATTGGTTTGTACAGTAAAATGTTTATGTTGCTTTTAAAGAAGAGAAAGAGCCAGGGCTGAGGATGCTGTTCGTTGAAAGGTGAAATGTGAAGAGAAATCCACACTATGCAGGATTTAACAGGACTGGTAGCCAGGCACCTGTTGCAGTCAGGATATCTATTACATCCGGCACACAGACCTAACAATCTTCTGTCTCCTTGAGGCCTCTGTGGTCATTTCCCCAGCTACGGTTTAATTTTTCTCCAGGCATAAGGACTAACTCACCTTCTTATCACATTATGGAGAAGGTTACCTTCAGCCCTCTTGCACATTTCAATCTGCCTGATTATCTGGCATTGCCTATAACTTACTGTGACGTTCCCCTGGTGTTATCTGGACCGGTGATCTGCTAGGTCACTCCAATCCTTGACTCTGGGAGCCAGCCTTACCCTGCTCTGCTGTGAGTACCCCCACTCCTGGGCTGTTCTCATGCACAGCCTCTGGCATGTAAGCTGCTCCTTGGATTGTGCAACTGAATGACACTAGCCAATATCTCTGGTCCCAGACACAATCCTAGAAACCTCCATCTTGCAGTGTCCAGTTATGCCCGCTGGACGTTGCAAGCTTATATAAATTCATCAATTTAACAAAGAAATTGATATGTACCAGGCTTGTTATCCCAAGGGGAGTATCTGACACACTTCAAACCAAACGCATTGCTTCAGGTAGAATAAACAAATTTATTAACTACAAAGATAGATTTTAAGTGATTATAAGTCAAAGCATAACAAGTCAGATTTAGTCAAATGAAATAAAAGCAAAACTCATTCTAAGCTGATCTTAACACTTTCAGTGCCCCTACAAACTTAGATGTTTCTCACCACAGGCTGGCTGGTTGCCCTTCAGCCAGGCTCTCCCCTTTGATCAGCGCTTCAGTCACTTGGTGGTGATGTCTGTAGATGGAGGTGGAAGAGAGAGGAAGAGCATGGCAAACGTCTCTCCCTTTTATCATGTTCTTTCTTCCCTCTTGGCTTTGCCCCCCCATCTTCAGAGTCAGGTGAGCATTACCTCATCGCAGTCCCAAACTGACCAAAGGAACGGGGGGTGACTCACTCGAGAGTCCAACAGATCCTTTGTTTTTGTCTAGGCCAGTGTCCTTTGTTCCTGTGAGGCTGGGCTGGGTTTGTCCCATCCACGCCCTGATGAGGTGTGAATTGCCCCCCTGCTTTTGGGGAGTTTTTGCCTGGGCTTGCTTTAAGCCACGAGAACACATTTTCAGCCTCATACATATATACATGAAATTACAACCTATAACATTACCATAACAACCATGTTCAGTACATCATGAGCCTTCCAAAGACACCCGACATGACAAACTTTGCATTAGATACCACACCATCATATTATAAGGATGAACATGGGAGGTGTAGAGTGTTCTCACAAGGTACAGAACGTCACACTTACCTTGTATGATCAGTTCAGCGACTGACTCCCCACCATTGGTCTTCACTGTGTAGTGCCCGCTGTCCTCCTTGGTTGACTCATTAATGATCAGATAATGCTTTTTCCCATCCTTCTTGAACCGGTACTTGAATGTCTCTTCCCGTTTCAGCTCAATTCCATCCTTTTCCCTGCAGTACCAAACAATATTGTCACTCTGCTTTCTGCTTCACTCTCTCCCTTCTGGGGCAGGATAAAAGTCAGCTGCATGATATTGAGGGTTTGGGGCATAGGACAGCAGTGCAGGATTGATGGTGACCTAAGTGGCAAAAGACTGAGCTTTTTACACAGTACCAAAAGGCACAGAGCTGACACTACTACTTGCTGACAGTTCATCTGCACTGAAATTTTGGCCTGGTCTACACTACGACTTTAATTCGGATTTAGCAGCGTTAATTCGAATTAACCCTTCACCCGTCCACACAACGGAGCCATTTAGTTCGAAATAAAGGGCGCTTAAAATCGATTTCTGTACTCCACCCCGACGAGCGGAGTAGTGCCAAATCGATTTTGTCAATTCGAATTAGGGTTAGTGTGGCCGCAATTCGATGGTATTGGCCTCCGAGAGCTGTCCCAGAGTGCACCATTGTGACCGCTCTGGACAGCAATCTGAACTCACATGCACTGGCCAGGTAGACAGGAAAAGCCCCAGGAAAATTTGAATTTCATTTCCTGTTTGCCCAGCGTGGAGAGCACAGGTGACCACAGATACCACAGATACCTCAGCTCATCAGCACAGGTAACCATGCAGGCTGATAATCGAAAAAGAGCACCAGCATGGACCGCACGGGAGGTACAGGATCTGATCACTATATGGGGAGAGGATTCAGTGCTAGCAGAATTTCGTTCGAAAAGACGAAATGCCAAAACTTTTGAAAAAATCTCCAAGGGCATGATGGAGAGAGGCCACAATAGGGACTCAGATCAGTGCCGCGTGAAAGTCAAGGAGCTCAGACAAGCCTATCAAAAAACAAAGGAGGCAAACGGTCGCTCCGGGTCAGAGCCGCGGACATGCCGCTTCTACGCCGAGCTGCATGCAATTCTAGGGGGGGCCGCCACCACTACCCCACCTGTGACCGTGGATTCCGGGTCGGGGATAGTGTCTACACCTGAGGATTCTGCGGATGGGGAAGAGGAGGAGGAGGAGGAGGACGACAAGCTTGCAGAGAGCACCCAGCACTCCGTTCTCCCAAACAGCCAGGATCTTTTTCTCAGCCTGACTGAAGTACCCTCCCAAGCCAGTAGCCAAGACCATGACCCCATGGAAGGGACCTCAGGTGAGTTTACCTTTTAAAATATAAAACATGGTTTAAAAACAAGCGTTTTTTAATGATTAATTTGCCCTGAGGACTTGAGATGCATTCGCGGCCAGTACAGCTACTGGAAAAGTCTGTTAACGTGTCTGGGGATGGAGCGGAAATCCTCCAGGGACATCTCCATGAAGCTCTCCTGGAGGTACTCCAAAAGCCTTGCCACTAGGTTTCTGGGCAGTGCCGCTTTATTCCGTCCTCCATGGTAGGACACTTGACCACGCCATGCTTGCAGCAAGTAATCTGGTATCATTGCCTGACAAAGCCTGGCAGCGTATGGTCCCGGTGTTTGCTGGCATTCAAGCAACATCCGTTCTTTATCTTGCTGTGTAATCCTCAGGAGAGTGATATCGCTCATGGTAACCTGGTTGAAATACGGGAACTTAATTAAGGGGACAGAGGTGGCCGTTCCTACTGGGCTGTTTGCCTGTGGCTGAAAAGAAATCCTTCCCTGCAGTTAGCCAAGCGCGGGGGGGGGCGGGGAATTGGCCCAGAGCTTTTCGCGTTTGGCTAGCAGGGATCTTCCCTGATACCAGCCACGCGGTGGGGGAAGGGGTAAAGCGATCATCCCAGGGAATTCATGGCGGGAGGGGGGGAGCGGGGGGGTTAGTTTGGTTTCTGCAGGGATCTTCCCTGATACCTGCCACGCGGTGGGGGGAGGGATACAGCGATCATCCCAGAGAATTGGATGGTGGGGGGGTTAGTTTGTTTTCTGCTGCTGAAGGTTAACAGGAAAACCGCAGCAGTCAACAGGCTTTGCTTGGTATGTGGGAAAGGAGGGCGCAGAAGCCGAAAGACAATGGCTTACCATGGCTGCCTGCAAGCTGAATTCTGTTGCCCGGACCTGCGTCTGTGATCTCTAACACCAAAGCCACAGGCACTCAATATTAAGATGGAAAATGCGACCTTGTACTGAAATCACATGTGCTATGTAATGTGAATAGTGTTTTTCACCATGAAAGAGTATAAGTATTGTTCTGTAAAATGTATCAATTTAAAAAATTCACTCCTTTCTTTCAACCCTCCCTACAGCAGCTGCAAATTTTTCAAGCCTCCCTCCTCCGTCCCGAAGGCTATCTCAGATAAGGCGTCGTAGAAAGAGGACGCGAGACGACATGTTCACAGAAATAATGGAATCCACTCGCAATGAAAGAGCTCATTTGAATGAGTGGAAGGACACTGTATCTAAATTTAGGAAAGATGCCAGTGAACGTGAGGTCTTGAGGGACGCTTGAGATGAGAGGTGGCAGACTGCAACGCTGGGGCTGCTTCATGATCAAACGGACATGCTCCGCCGTCTGGTGGAGCTTCAGGAACGGCAGCAGGATGACAGAGTGCCGCTGCAGCCGCTGTATAACCTCCCTCCCCCCTCACCATGTTCCATATCCCCCTCACCCAGACGTGTAAGAACGCGGGGGGGGGGGGAGGCTCCGTGCACCCTCCCACTCCACCCCAGTGGACAGCCCAACCAAAAGGCTGTCATTATATTGAATTTGATCAGTGGCCTTATAGTTCCCTCATATCCTCCTCCCAAACCTCACCCAGATTACCTTCTTGGTTCTCTCCCTATGTTTATAATCACTTAATAAAGAATACATGATTTTTAAACGATAGTTACTTTATTTCCTTTGAAAGAAAGCTGGGGGGAGGATGGGTTGCTTACAGAGAATGAATGAGTCAATAAAGGGGGCTGGTTTTCATGAAGGGAGAAACAAACAGAATTTTCACACTGTAGCCTGGCCAGTCATGAAACTGGTTTTCAAAGCTTCTCTGATGCACAGCGCTTCCTGGTGTGTTCTTCTAATCGCCCTGGTGTCTGGCTGCGCGTAATCAGCAGCCAGGCGATTTGCCTCAGCCTCCCACCCTGCCATAAAGGTCTCCCCCTTACTTTCACAGAGATTGTGGAGCACACAGCAAGCAGAAATAACAATGGGGAGATTTCTTTGGCTGAGGTCAGAGCGAGTTAGTAGCGATCGCCAGCGACCTTTTAAACGGCCAAATGCACATTCTACCACCATTCTGCACTTGCTCAGCCTGTAGTTGAACAGCTCCTGACTCCTGTCCAGGCTGCCTGTGTATGGCTTCATGAGCCATGGCATTAAGGGGTAGGCTGGGTCCCCAAGGATAACTGTTGGCATTTCAACTTCCCCAACGGTTATTTTCTGGTCCGGGAAGTAAGTCCCTTGCTGCAGCCGTTTAAACAGAGTAGTGTTCCTGAAGACACGAGCATCATGAACCCTTCCTGGCCACCCCACGTTGATGTCGGTGAAACGTCCCTTGTGATCCACCAGTGCTTGCAGCACCATTGAAAAGTACCCCTTGCGGTTTACGTACTGGGTACCCTGGTGCTCCGGTGCCAAGATAGGGATGTGGGTTCCATCTATCGCCCCACCACAGTTAGGGAATCCCATTGCAGCAAAGCCATCCACTATGACCTGCACATCTCCCAGAGTCACTAGCTTGTGTAGCAGCACCTCAGTGATTGCTTTGGCTACTTGCATCACAGCAGCCCCCACAGTAGATTTGCCCACTCCAAATTGATTCCCGACTGACCGGTAGCTGTCTGGCGTTGCAAGCTTCCACAGGGCTATTGCCACTCACTTCTCAACTGTGAGGGCTGCTCTCATCCTGGTATTCTGGCGCTTCAGGGCAGGGGAAAGCAAGTCACAAAGTTCCATGAAAGTGCCGTTACGCATGCGAAAGTTCCGCAGCCACTGGGAATCGTCCCACACTTGCAACACTATGCGGTCCCACCAGTCTGTGCTTGTTTCCCGGGCCCAGAATCGGCGTTCCATGCCTATAACCTGCCCCATTAACAGCATGATCTCCAAAGCACCGGGTCCCGCGGTTCGATAGAATTCCATGTCTATATCCTCATCACTGTCGTCGCCGCGCTGCTGTAGCCTGCTCCTCGCCGCCTGGTTTTCCAGGTTCTTGTTCAGCATAAACTGCACGATAAGGCGCGAGGTATTTACAACGTTCATGACTGCTGTCTTGAGCTGAGCGGGCTCCATGCTTGCCGTGGTATGGAGTCTGCAGTGTTCACCCAGGAAAAAAGGCGCGAAATGGTTGTCTGCCGTCCGTTGCTTTCATGCAGGGAGGGAGGGAGGGAGGGAGGGGTGAGGCTGTACCCAGAACCACCTGCGACAATGTTTTGGTCCCATCAGGCACTGGGATCTCAACCCAGAATTCCAATGGGCAGGGGAGACTGCGGGAACTATGGGATAGCTATGGGATAGCTACCCACAGTGCAACGCTCCAGAAATCGACGCTAGCCCCGGTACATGGACGCACACCACCGAATTAATGTGCTTAGTGTGGCCGCATACAATCGAATTTATACAATCTGTTTCCCAAATTCGAATTATATAAATTCGGATTAATTCCGTAGTGTAGACGTACCCTTTGATTCCTAGTTCAAGAGAGTTAATTATTATTTTTGTTATATACTTACCCCTGACAATGTGTTGAATGTTGTACAAGAGGCAATGATAAATACAATCCTTGCCCCCCAGTGAACTTACTGTCTAAAAGACTGACATAGAGAAGACAGAACTCAGTGGAAAATACAGGCTAGGTCTACACTACCCGCCTGAATCGGCGGGTAGAAATCGATCTCTCGGGGATCGAATTATCGCGTCTCGTCGGGACGCGACAATCGATCCCCGAATCGACGCTCTTACTCCACCAGCGGAGGTGGGAGTAAGCGCCGTCGACTGGGAGCCGCAGAGGTCGATTTTGCCGCTGTCCTCACAGCGGGGTAAGTCAGCTCCGATACGTCGAATTCTGCTACGCTATTCGCGTAGCTGAATTTGCATATC